TGGGACCCAGAGAGGGGTGACTCCTATTGTGGCAGTTGTCCTTCTTCTGTCTTGACTACTCAACCTGGCCTCTTCCATTTTTTGCCTCAAGCTTTCTGTACTTTCCTGTTTCCTGTTCTCAGCTTTTCTCAACAGGTGGAAATGTGGAAAGTTTAAAGTATGTCAGCTCATTATGTCAAAAGCCTGCCTCCAGGGGCTGTGGCTGTGGCTGTGACTGAGCAGTAGAGCACTTGCTGGCATATGTGAGGCACTGGGTTCCATTCTCAGAAACACATATAAATAAATAAAATAAAGGTCTATCAACAACTAAAAAAAGAAAAAAAAAAGCATGCCCCCAAGTCCAAAAAAGATGTTAATCTTGGTATCACATAGGCTATAGTTATCAAATAATAATTTTCAAAATTTAAAAAATATAACTCATATAAATATAAAATGAGTACAAGTTTAAGACTTGTACTCATTTTATATTTTATACCCACTCACTGAAGAAGAAGATAAAAAAGACGGTAACGCAGGTTCAGAACTAAGTATTCAGAGGCATTCATAAGAGCAGATTGAAATACTATTGATTGGTGGTATACAAAAGTGGTTCATGTCTTCTAGGAAAGTAGACCATAATCTTCAGCGTTCTCTTCTTTACTGGACAGAAATCAAGTTAATATGTAACTGTACAATGTCTAGGCTCTAATCAATAGGAAAATAGCAAAGTCAAACATAGTTACCTTGTTCTGGAAAATTACATAATTATTAGGTGATCTTATAAACAATGCCCCAGTATAACATTGAGAAGATGGTGGCCCTCTTTCTTTGCCTTATTTGCAAGTTTTGGATAATTAACACATTTACATATTTTTCAAGGTATTACCTTTTTGTTTTAGCCTTTTCCTGCTTTGGAGTATGTTAGTATTTCTCCAATAGACAGTAGATATGAGAGAGAAAATGTAACTCTCAAAACTTCTTTCATGGTCTGGGAATGTGGCTCAGTGGTACATTGCCCAGAATGCCTGAGACCCTAGGTGTGAACCCAATCACCACAGAAAGAAACAACAACAAAAATTATTACTAGCTGATAATTCTAGAGTGGGGAGTGTTTGATAAGAGTAAAGAGAAAAAGGCAAGAAAAGAGACTAACTATCTTGGATAAAAAAAGTGAACTTTGAGGATTATAATGAAAATTTGAAGATTTCCTCCCTTTTTTTGCTTTCATTTTTAAAATATAAATTCATTTTAACTAATACTTAAAAATAAAAATTATAAACATTAATGGAGTCTTATGTTAGGATTTTAATTTATTCATTTAATTTTTGAATATAACATCAGAAATAACAGAATAACAGATACTTTTATAAATTTCTTGAAGGAAGAAAATTCAACTGACCAAAAATGTGAAAATTACTAGTATCAACATATAATAAAAGAGAAGAGTGATAAAGTAATTGAGATAACAGATTTCTTGGCTCTAGTTAAAATTTTTTTCTAAGTAGAGAGTATAAAGTAATCTTGCTGTACTAAATTATACAAGGCTACAATTAACAAGGTCAAGGGTGATGAGGAAGGCTGCCTAATGAAATTCGCTAACCTAAGAATTCTCGTACCAAAAACTGAAAAATTCCTGGATCAGGTGTCCATATTTAATTAAAAACAAAAAATAATTATTTAATTTAAAGAATACGCTGTCTTAAATATATACTTCCAACTTTTTTGTTTGTTTTTTTGCTTTTAGTGAAGCATGGTGGGAATTTTTTTTTCTGATATATATAATTATTTTTTTAATATGGAATGTTGTTCAGGTTACATACTGGCCAGGCTTGTCATAAAGTCATCTTAACAACTATTACATTGAAAAAAAATCATTAAAAGTCCTTATTTATTATAATGCATGAGGTGATCTGGTAATTTCTTTTACTATTTAAGAATACTTTTGTATGGAAGATAATATTTTGATGATGGCATTCTAGATCTTACCTGTAAGATATTATACAAGGGAACAGAAGACCTTAGTTCTATTCACCTTTCTGTCACTAAATCATTATACAATTGTGGAAACATTTTGTTTTCTTCTAAAATTCAAGTTTTTTTTTTTTTTTGGTGTTTAGAATTCTACATGTATATCCACTAAGACATAGTTTTTAAGTTTTAGAGTTTAGAACTTACTCGAGTTTTATACCAAAAAAATGGCCAGATCCCTTATACAACCTGATTTGGACATCTGCAGCATCTGCAGTAATATACCTAAGTATATATTACACCTTAGGTAATATACACTTAGGTGTATATTACTTGCAGTATGTACTACCACTTGAGTTCTTAGCTTTTTATCTTGGTCAGCTGTCTCTGAACTGGGCTATAATTTTCTCATTTATAAAACAAGATGGTTGTGCTGCAATGGTTGGGTTAATTATATATGAATGACTTAAAAGTTTTAAAAATAGTTTATTTTTTGGGGAAGGGTACCATTATGAATCTATGAGTGTTTTAAAACATGAACTATTTATAGATAAGGTTTTAGAATTAAGTTTCAAAACTAATGTTTAACTTTTTTGATCAGTTTTACTTTTCCCCCTAAGCTCCTAAAACACGACAGCCTGCCCTTTCAATATTCGATAGTTTCTAGGATTTTCAAACTGAAACTAGTAGGTTATCTGGGCACCAGTTTATTATCTCCAGCTTCTCTTCCCTATTAAAAAGGAAAAGATGATTATTATTAGGCCCAATTATTTTGAGAATTCATCTTATCAAAAATGTGGAATTATGAATTCAGTCTGTTTATGATGAACTGCCTCTGAGTTGAATTGTTTCATAGTCTAATCTATTTGGTTATAATAATAATAAGAATAATAATAATAAGAAAAGGGAGATAATATAATAAATTTGGTATTTATCAATTTAATCAGTTTCTGAATTTAATGAAATAAAAAAACCTGAATCCCCTCAGGATTCTCTGTTGGTAGAAGAAATGACTATAACAAAAACTGTTGAGGTAGATTGAAAAAGAGAAGAAAATCCATAGGACCCAAAGCATAGGACTCACCATTAATATTTTGACTACAGTTATCTGGAGTAGAATCTTGGGCAGAAAAGAAAGAAAAAGGAAAGAAAAGGTAAAAAGGAAGGAAGAAGGAAAGAAAAGACAAGGTGGAAATATTTACAGTTCATATTATAGTACAAGAACTAATTTCCTTAATAAGAAACTTATCATTCTGTGAGAAAAAGACCAGTGACCCAATATAAAAATGAGGGATATACTCAATCCTACTCAAATAAGATAAATGAAAATTCAAATGTGAGATATCATTTTTAAATTATAAAACTGGAAAAATTCAACAAGTTTGATTACACTTCTTGTTGAGAATGTGGGGAAAACAGGTACTCTGAAAGTATTGATAGTTTTAAGTCAACCCAACCTTTCTTGCAGAAAATATGTGTGGTACCGGGAATGAAACCCAGGGCCTCCGCATGCTAGGTAAGTGCTCTACCAGTGAGCCACATCCCCAGCTCAAGTTGGCATAAATAATCTTCATTCTAAGTGCTATGCATTGGTAAATACATTCCAACCTCATCTACCATTTTCTCTCTTGCTCAGTTGCCCTCCTGCTTTTCCTCAAATATGCCAATTACATTCCAGCTCCAGGGCCTATGCATTTAACTTTCCCTACTAATCCTGAAAAGCATATCAATTTTTTCTTTACCTCTATCAGGTAAATATCACCTCAATAGGTAAATATTAATCCTGAAAAGCACATCAATTTTTTCTGTACCTCTATCAGGTAAATATCACCTCAAAAGGTAAATATTGCTCAAATATCACCTCTTCAGTGAGGCTAAAACAGTGGCTCCTCACCACCCTAATTTTAATACAAAGAACTTATCGTCTGTGTTTTGTCTCTCCTCCCTATCTAGACTCTACACCCAGTAAAGACAAGGTCTTTGTTGTGTATATTGCTGTATCCCAGACCCTACAGGCTTAATATACAGTAGCTGCTCATTAAAGGTACATACTGAATGAACATTTTATAGAGGACAACTTAACAACATTTATTAAAATTTAGAATGTAGGGTTGGGGTTGTAGCTCAGTGGTACGGCACTTGCCTAGCTCGTGTAAGGCACTGGGTTTGATCCTCAGCACCACATAAAAATAAATAAAGGTATTGTGAACATCTACAACTAAAAAAAAAAAAAAAGTTAGAATGTATATATACTCTGAAATTCTCCTGAAGGCATTTACCTATAGATAATAGATATCTTTTTGTTTTGTACTGGGGATTGAATCAAGAGTGCTTTACTAGGCTGGGGTTGTGGCTCAGTGGTACAGAGCTTGCCTCAAATGTGTGAAACACTGGGTTCAATCATCAGCACCACATAAATAAATAAACAAAATAAAGTTATTAAAAAAAAAAGGCAATCCTTTTTTTTTTTTTTTTAAAAAATAATTACACTAACCTGCATCCCCAGCTCTTTTTATTTTT